CCGTTCATTAAGGGGGGACGTAGGGTGGCGGGGACCTGTACGGGGTCATGTTCTTCGGGCGGGAGCCTTTCCCCTCCATGGGTGCGGTGAAGGGGGGGGGAGGCTGGTAGGGCGGCGCGTTGGGATCCTCGTCCCGCAGCGGCGTGTACTCCCCGATGGTGTCCTGGTTGAGCGGCGTGGTCTCCGGCATGTTCTGGTTGGGGTACTCCGGTGGGGGCAGCGGGGCTTTCTCCTCCTGGAGGATGAGGGGCATGCTGGAGGATGGCGGAGGCTTGGAGTCGTCCAGCTCATCGGCGAAGATGATGGGCACGCCTTTCTTTATGAAGGTGGCCTGGTCTTCAATGGTCAACTTCCCTTTCCTCTTCTTGCGGTAGCAGATCATGGCGATGATGCCGGCCACGAGGAGGATGGCAGCCACCACCACGGCAGGGATGACGGTGTGCAGGTACACATCGTCCTCGCTGCTCTTCTCCGGGTCTTTGCCTGCCACCACTGTCGGCGTCGCCTCTGAGATCACCCTTCCATCCTTAGTCACGGGGATGAACTGGATGTGCCTGCAGCTGCCAGAGCCCACCACCGACACGTTCAGAGGCTTGAACTCGGGCTGCAAGACGTTGGAGAAAGCCAGGCTTGGCCCGCCAGAGTCATCTGCAATTTTTTTGCTCAAAGTCCGGATCTGCTCCCGGGGACAGGGCTCCAGGGGCAGCGTGTTGTTCGTCCACTCCACTACGATGGAGCCTTTGCTGATGTCCTGCACTGTGATGGTGCTGCTGTTTCTGTCGCCAAACGCCAGAGCCAGCTTCTTCACCAGCATGATCTTCTTATTGATGTCATTCACCACCGCGTTGTGGTCCCCTTCCAGCCTGGCCTTGAACTTCACCGGAGACTTGTCTCCGTGTGGGCGTTTGTGGACGTGGATTTCGAAAGCATCCACAGCAAAAAGCCCGCCTTTGTCGGTCGCGTACATGAAGTACTCATGCTTCCCGATGTGGTTGTGGTCCGGCATGCCGTACATGAGCTGGCTGGTGCTGTTGAACTGCACCCACGAATTCTCCTCTATCATCTGCTGCTCCTTCAGCTTCAAGGTCAGCTGCAGTTTGTCAGTGGTGGTATCTTCCTTGTCGTAGAAGGTATCTGACGGTATTTTAACCTCAAAGTAAGTGCCCTCCCACGCATCGACCCTGTCAATGTGGTTCGTCAACTTGGGTGGCTCGTTTGGCTCCCAGGGCCGGGGAATCCCGCTAGCTGTTGTGCGTAGACGGGTCGGCGGGGAGGCTGTTGTCAGCTTGGAGATGGGGGATCTGGTTGTGCTGGGAGGCTTTGTTGGACGGGGTGTTTTGGGTCTTCGAGTAGGCCTTCGCGTCGTCGCAGTGGAGGAATCCGTTGTGGACGGCGTGGCTGGCTTCAGAGTGGAGACTCTGGGTTTCTTGGTGGTAGTTGTGGGCGGTGTGATCACTGCCGTGGGCTCTACGT